TGTCTTCCAACTCCTATTCTTTCTCCCTTTTATTTATCTGCTTATGATGGTTAGCATAAGGACATGATATTTTCAAATTAGCATTTCCATGACTTACATCCATTCGTTTTGCATGCATAAAAGTTCGGCTCATCATATAACTCAAATGTCAAATTCAAACTCTTTACTTGAATACGTGCGTTATCACATGCCTTGAATTAACTCGCATGCCATGCTAGTAGCCAAGCTTATTGCTTGCACGTTGAATGTGTTGCATTAGTCATGTTGCATTAATTAGGATCATGCATTTTTTTAACTATTTGCTTTCTTTTGACTCGCCTTCGGACATAAGGTAAGCATTTTTGCTTTAGCATATTGCATGAGTGTGATTGCTGCCATATCAAACATGATGCCATATCAAACATACTACCATGAGGCTAAATGCTTACTTGATGTACCTATTTGAATGCCTGTGGATGAAGGTTATTCACTAACATTGGGATACTTTGATTAATGTATATATATGAGATCACTTTTTCAAGTGGTACATATGCAAAACACTTTGTGGACGTGCCCGGGAGGGCCTTATGCTACCACAGTTCAGACTCATTTTGTCATGGTTCTTAATCTGATCTCACAATGTGTAATGCGAGATTGATAAATCACCAAAGAGTCCAAATCCGGCAAATCGTTTTGGAAAACTAATTTTTGTAAAGAAGTGCCAAACATGGACTGCTTTGCCAGATACAGAGTCGTCACCTAAATATTTTATTTTGGGGAAATTTAGGAAACCCTGACTCGTTGCCTAAGGCCACGTGTCCGTCATCACCAAAGTTGCCTCGGCTCGGGAACTTGAGAACGATTGGAGAAGGTCAGCTATGAGCACCCCCGCTCGCCCGATCAAAGATCGGCCACTACTAAACATGATATTTTATTTTTGAAAACACATGTGTTCTTATTCCGGTTAATTAGCTAATCTTACTAAACCAACCAAGAATGCCACAGCAAACAGAAAAGCCGAACTAGTAGGGTCCCAGCCAAAAGAAATAACGACCACCTACACAACCCGTAGGGGAAGGAAAACAAACCCAAATACTACAATATAAAAAGGCCCAATCCCAAACACCATACAGTCAACGTAGAGGTAGATTGTTACAAAAGGAAAAAAAAAAAAAGAAAAAAAAAAAGAAAGACAATGTATTTTCTTTGTAAAGAAGTTCCACTAAGACTGGCACAGCAGTGCAGCCTGGTCCTGGTGAACCACTCCTGAGCTAGAGCTTCAATGTAGACAGCACATTGCTCATTCCACCACTGACTTCCAAGCTTCCAACCAAACCCAGCATCAGGATTATAGCAGCATGCAATCGACAGCAACAGCCATAGATGCAATGCAGATACAAAGAAAGGTCAATAAAACAAACTGGCACAACATGCAGCTCGGTCTGTGAAACAACTACACCACATGAGGCCTTAATCTAGACAGCTCTCAAAAATAGCCCATCTCCACTGCTACCCAAAACAGATCAGAGTAACTTGGAAAAGGTAACATCACACAAATGAAAAAACACAATAGATTGATCATAGAACACTATATATATAGAAAAACTCACAATCTATAAGGGCTATATCACTCAACCCTCAATAACCACACCCCTCAAAACAAACCAGTGTACGGAACTCAGATAGAATCATAACAGAAATAAAGAAGTAGAGAAAGATCTAATAACAATTTGTGGCTCACTTCCTCACCAATTAACATTCCCTACCCCAGTACTAGCTAGGATCCCAAACCTGCAATACATAAAGCAAACATTAACACTCAGTATGTGGCTAACATCACTCAACCCACATATAGTGAACTCACAACCCTCTTTTGAGAGATGCCACATCCCATTCCTGTAAAACGTAGAAGTTTATTAACAAAACCAGATAAAGGAAACTCACTATAGAACCTTGCCAAACTCAACCCACAGTATAGTGCTCCCATTCACTCGACCCACACAACTAACAAAGCCCTCAAATTTTGATGGTATTTGGAGGCAATCTCCATTCCTGCAGAAACCACATAGCATTATGGGATTTCTTAATGTTGTTAATAGCAAGGGCCCTATATCTGACTATGCTTATGATGTTCTTCAAAATGATTTCTTCTGGTTTCCTTTCCTTGGTAAAAATACGATTGTTTCTCTCTAACCAGACATGGTACACAGTACAACAAAAGGCAAGCCTTTTGACAATAGCAGCAAGAGACTTGCCTTTACAGTCTCTGGCTATCAAGTCCACCAAACCCAACCAAGTAGGGCTGTGCCAATTTGTATTGCATTTGGACAGCACATCAGTCCACACCTTAGAAGAGAATGTGCACTGAAAAAAGAGGTGATCATGGTCCTCACCAGGTATACCACATAGAGGGCAAACTGGGTTAGGGTTAATACCAAAGATGGCAAGCCTATCACCAGTGTTTAACCGACCCAGAATAGCCATCCAAACGATGAAACCCACTCTAGGAATAGAGTGAGGACTCCACACCAGGTTAGCCCAATTAACAAGAGGCCACTTCAATCTCCAAGAATTCCAAACAGAACCAATATTGAAATTCCCATCCTTTTGAGGCAGCCAAATGGCTCTATCATGACCTCCAAAGGAGGGAATAATGTCCGGAGGAGTAAAGGCAATAATCTCCCTCACCTCCCAAGAAGAAGCATTAGGCCAATTCCAACCACTAGCCCCCACAACAGAGGCCACCTTAGCCGTAGCATTTAATGCAGTGTCATACATCAAACTATTGCCATACTTAGACCAGAGGGATCCAAGAGGGTGCCAATTATCATACCATAAGGAAGTGCCTTCCCCATTACCAATCTTATACTTAATCAAGGGGAACATAGCCTCCCTCAAAGATAAGATTTTCCTCCACACACAAGAGGGGTTACTAGGGACAGCAACAGCCCAGAAACTATGGCCTTTCAACAAGTAAGACTTCACCCATTGACACCACATAGATTGCTCCCCACCTGCCACTATAAACCAAATATGCTTAGATATAGCAGCTCTATTCCAAATATCTAAGGACTTAAAACCTAACCCCCCTTCATTTTTGGGGGCACAGATTCTATCCCAAGCAACCTTACTAGCAGATTTTTTAAGCTCAAGGCCAGACCAAAGAAAAGACCTACAAAAGGCTTCAATCTCCTTAATGACTTTTTTATGAAGGATAAAAAGGGAAGCCCAGTAGACTTGCATAAAGAACAGGATAGTACTAATCAGTTGGGCCCTCCCAGCATAGAACAAAATTTTGTTAGTCCAAGATTTAATCCTATTAGTGATCCTATCAACAAGACTTTTACAATCACTAGCTTTAAGTCTAGTAGTAATGAGAGGAACACCAAGATACCTCTAGGTAAACTACCTTCCTGAAATTGAGTGATCCTCCAGATGTCAACTTTAAGAGAGGGGGCACAGCCAGAGAAGAAAACATTACTCTTATTTGGATTCGGAGATAACCCAAAGAGGGATTGGAGTTCCATAAGGCCATTTTTAATGATTTGGACAGAAGGGACATGCCCTTTATAAAAGACCATCAGGTCATCAGCAAAACAAAGGTTCACAATTTTGTTCCTCCCACATCTCCAGTGGAATTTGAAATGGGGGTCTTTGGATTGCTCATTAAGGATCCTAGCAAGAACCTCCATAACAATGACAAACAGGTAAGGAGACATGGGGTCTCTCTGTCTAAGCCCCCGAGCCCCCTGAAAGTACCCATGGCTACTCCCGTTAATGCAGACGGAGAAACTAGTAGATGTAACACAAGCTTTGATCCAAAGAATCAACCTAGTGGGAAACGACATAGCCTTAAGCACATCAAAGAGGAAATCCCACCGAACATTATCATAAGCCTTCATTAAATCCACTTTCATGGCACATTTAGGAGAGGGGGAGAGCTTATGGTACCCCCTCATAAGCTCCTGGGAAAGAAAAATATTGTCAGCAATTCTCCTCCCATGGACAAACGAGGCTCGAGTGTACACTCTTGAAGTGATTTTGTTCCAGAAAGCATTTTGCTGGAAGTTATGGCAATAGTTCACTGCTTGATTTATGGGGTTGCCATCACTCATTTTTTGATTTTTAAACGGTCTTATATCATATTGCAATTTTTTGCATCTTCTATTTTGTTGGTCCTCTTTGATTAATTGGCTTTGTAGAGTCTCTAGTCAAGTTGTAATGCTTCTTTCCTGTTCAGTTTGTTTGTTGTTCTTCTGTAGTTTGCCAAGCCAGCCAAGTACTTCAAAATCATGGTTGTGCGGTTCTTGGAGCAGCAAGGGCATTGCCCCGGTTCTGTGCATATTTCTGTACCAGTAATTTCTTTGTTTTCATGAGCAACCCTATCAGTTAAAAAGTCAAATTTGTGCCCCACACAGTGTAGAAGATGAGTCATAACCCACAATAATTCCACACGGTGGTTGAAGCTTTATATTAGTATTGTCTTTGTGGGAATCGAATCTCACTGAATAGGTATTCATGAAGAGTTTTCTCCTCAGGTTCCTTTATATTCTTAGATAATAGTGAATGATCATGACATCTGTGGAATAAAAAAAAGGATCAAAAGAAGGAAGGAAGGAAGGAAGAAATTTCGTCTAAAGTCTCTGCGACGATTTTGGTGTTATTTCTCTACATATTTACGGTGAAGATAGGCTTATATAGTTTCATGTCTTGATTATCTAAATTCCAGAGGTAGATCAAACATAAAAAAAACAAAAAAAAAAAAAGAAGTCAAAGATCATCGTTCTTGCTCTGTATTGCATAATAGTTGTTTTCTTTTGTTCATTTTTAGTTTGATTATTTTTGTGATTCTTGAGAAAACATAGCTCTACTAGTCTTTTCTGTGGATATATGGAATTTTTACTAGTCATATAAGAAAGAAACCTCTGTTGCTGTGTGCTTGTACTGTCTGTTCTGTAAAATTATTCCAAGGTGGTTAATCATTTGTGTGTGACATTTAGATTTACTTTTTGGGGTTATATATGGAATGCGGAGGTGGAATATTATTATCTTTCTTTAACACTAGACGCAGACGAGAGGAATCAAAAAGATACGAGTCATTCTTGGAAAATAGGAGCAAGGTACTAGAGGAGTTCATCACTAAATGGAATGGTCAATGTAACATTCCTATCCGTAATTTCTCTGCTAAAGAGCTAATTAGGTCGACCAACAACTTTGACTGTCAGGATCAGATTGATGAAGATGCTTACTATAAATTGTACAGAGCCTATTTTGGAGAACGTCCAATATTGGTTAAGCAGTATAAGTGGTATGATAACCCTACTCTTGACACTAGTACCACGGCCTGTGTTGTCCGTGACATAGCGATTACCGCACAGATGAGTAGTCAAAAGATTGTTGTGAAGCTCATAGGTTGCTGCTTGGAATTCCAATACCCAATTCTGGTTTATCAAGGTCTAAGAAGTACTGAACAGTTTCTCTCTCGGTCCTTGTACAAAAGGGAAGGGGACATGGCGAATCATGACGATGGATCATCATTATCGTTGAAAACTAGGGTTAGGATTGCAAATGATGTCGCATATGCTTTCGTGTACTTCCACGCTGCATTTTCTACACCCATCATTCATAGGAGTCTAAAATCAAATAATGTGATCATAGACCGGTGTAGTGGTGCTGCTAAATTGTTAGATTTCTCATTCTCTATATCGATTCCTCCCGGAGAATCACAGGTGGAGGATTCGGTAATCGGGATATTGGGTCTTATGGAGCTTGAATATTGTCTCACAGGGATTCTTACCGTGAAGACTAATGTTTACGATTTTGGCATGATTCTCGTTGAACTTCTGACTGGACAGAGAATTGGGGACTTGCACATGCAATATGAGAGCTTACAAGATTATTTACACAATGGTGGGCTGAATGAAATTTTGGATGCTAAAATCCGAGGGGAAGGTGGAGGAGTTGTGCAAGAGCAACAATTGCAAGCTCTTGTAGAACTTGCCATGCAATGTCTTCAGAAAGAAAGAGAAGATAGGCCAGAAATGATCGATGTGGCCAAAGAAGTTAAACGAATTCAGGGGCTTGTTCAAACCCCAATCAGCTCAACCATAAATCCATTATAAGATGTTGACTTTGTGCTCCACACAGATGCACCAATTCGCGTTGTTAGTTTTCGTTGTTGTTGTAGTTGTTTTTAATGCTTTGGGATCCTCTGTATTCTATCCCTGATGACCATGTTTCAATTTTATTGATGTCCTGTAACTAGTTATGCATTATTCAATTCCAGAGTGTTTTCTCCTATACAGCCTTTTGTTTCGTTTTATTCCACTTGCAGGTTCAGTAAACCCAGCCCAGATAGATACATAGATATAGATTTGGAATCGATAGCTAGATACATACATACAGATATTCATTAATTTCCTTGGAGCCTCGTGCATTCGTGTGGCTTTTGAGAGCTGTTAGGGTAATGCCCAGGTTCTATGCAAATTTCTCTCCTAGTAAATTTTTTGTTTTCATGAGCAACCCTATCAGTCAGAAACTCAAGTTCGCATATGCATCAAATTCGTGTTGCTATTGTTTTTATGCATTTTGGGGTCCTTTGTATTCTTCTGTCCCTGATTACCAATTTTCAATCTCATCAATGTCTTGTAACTAGTTCTGCAGTAATCAAATTTCCTGACGTTGTGTTTGGTTTGGGGATTTGAGAAGGGATTTGGAAAGGAAAAGGAAAGAGTTAGGTGAAATGTGAATAAAGTATACATATATTTCACCTAGTTTCACACACATTTTCTTCTCTTGTCAAGTCTTATGAAATCAGTGGATGCAAAAATAACCAAAACAATTAACAGAACGTTTTTGAGCTCATGGAGTTTTAATTTTTGGCTCTTGTATAAGACCATGGAGGCGACGCACTTTAGTTCTCCCTAATCTTTTCTGCAATAATGGTAGCCAGGATGAGAGATCATTGTCATGGAAAAATAAGCTTAGGATTGCAAATGGAATTGCTAATGATGCTGTATATATCTCCACACTTGCATTTTCGAGGCCTGTTATCCATTTTGGACAAATTTATTTATTTTTTTAATTCCATGTATTTTTTTCAAAATTTATCCATCCAAAATTGTTGACACGATTTCGATCGCTTACTTTTTGAAAAATGTTGTTTCACTGTTTTGATTAACCGAAAAATTAACCTATTAATTTTTTATTTTTGAAATTTCATATTCAATATTGATCTTATTTGAAAGATTTAGAAAATACAAATTCACAAATATTAATTTTATTAAAAATAAAATTGTAATAAATCTAATTGAAAATGCATGTTTTTATTTGTTTTGCAATTTGAGTGGCCGAATTTGACTACCATGGTTATAGGTTCCACCCACAGCATGTTTGGTACCACAGCATGTTTGGTATAGAAATGGGAGGGTGAATTGATAGTCCAAGAGGCTTAGTAATCTCTCTCAGTAAGGAAATGAGATTGGCTAGGTTTTGGGTGGGATTTAGAAAATAATGAGGGAGATTGAGTCTATTTTATATAAATTTTTTTTTTACCAAGTGCACTTGTTTTCTTTAATATTTGTTTTAATTGTTTTAATATAAAAATAATTTATTTTATATAAAAATAATTTGACAATGTCATCACTGAACATCCCTCATACTATCATCAAAACAAACACACTTTTACTTAATCCCTTCACTAACAATTTCCACATTAACAATTTCTTCACTAACCATCCTCTCACTATCCAACCTAATCCGCCAAACAAACGTGGTCTTAAAGAGTTTAGCGCCTCGAGCTATTATAAAATAAGTTTGAAAATTAAATTTATGGCTTGAGTTTCCTTTTCAATTCATATATTTTTTTATTTGTAGTATTTTAATTAAAATTATTTACTTTTTAAATACACTTAGCTTAGATACATTTAAAAAGTATAAAATTTATAATTTTTTTAAAAAAAAAATTCAATAAATACAAAAAAATTATAAAAATCCAAAATATTTTTGTATTTTTTTGTCCTTATTAAAATTTTCTTAAATTTCTTTCTAAATATTTTTAACTTTTAAGTACATATAGATTAGTTATATTTAAAAATATATATATTAAAATATATAAAAAAAATTAACTAAAAACAGCAAAACACACACACACACACACACACACACACACACAAAGAATAATTATCGTTAACCAGCTGTCCGGAGCCACATCAGTGGCCACCAGGCCGGGTCCTGTGCAGCCCCTTCGTCTCTCTTCGTTTTATCCCACTTGCTGGTTCGGTAAACTCAGCCCTAGATAGATATAGATATAGATTTGGAATTATTTTACAAGATAAATTACAAACATACCTCTGAAATTTATTTAAAGTATAGATTATTTTTTGTAATTTGAAAAATGGGAATTTTTTTTTAAGGTCTCTGGTATTAAGATTTTATAGTATAAAGGACATTCAATATTTTCATAATATCTAAGGTCCCTTAACATTGATCCAGAAAAAATTCGATGCAGAGAATTTCTCTGGACAAATCACAGAGAAAATTCCAAATTTCTCTAGACACATCACAGAGAAAATCTCACCAGAGAATTTCTCTGGATTCAACCCAGAGAAATTTCCCTTTCCACCCCAAAGAAATTTACTCAACCCCAGAGAAAATCCCCTCCAACCAGAGAAATTCACTTTTGTTGTGTACAGTTTGATGGCTTCAGTGATTTGATCCAACATTATTCTTATACTACAAAAAGAGACTTGATCCAATAACCATATTTATGTCTATATTCATAATGAATTCAACATACAAAGCAATCCTTGGAATTTCTCTAGGTTCAAGACCTTGAACATTTAAATTTCTCTGGACTAATTTCTCTGGACTAACATTCAAATTTCTCTGAACTAACATCAAATTTCTCTGGATCTCTGGATCTCTGGACTAACATCAAAAACCCTTGAACATTTTTCAAATTTCTCTAGACTAATATTCAAATTTCTCTGGATCTCTGGACTAATATCAAAAACCCTTGAACTTTTCACAAATTTCTCTGGACTAATATGACGAAATGAACATACATTGCATATGACACTACATCAATAAAGAAGAGGCAAGAGCAAGGAGCATCATAGCATTACTCCCTAATCCCAACTAGGTTGGTATCAAGAAGAATACCCAATCATATGCTAGCTCAAGCCACACTACAAAAAATTAAGATTTTAGAGACCAAAATTTAGGGATAAAATTATTTTTAAGAACCAAATATTTTTATTACAAAAAGTGTCGTTATTATATTTTTAGTAACAAAAATTGAACATTAGTGATTAATTATTATCTTTTTGGTATCAAATTTTTTTGTCTCAAAAAATAAACCATTTTGAGACCAAATTATTTTGTCCCTAAAAGTCTATTTATTATTGACATTTTTGGAATTTTATCTCTAAAAGCCTTATTTTTGACTTTTCAGAGCGATCTTTTGGCGACTATTCTCATGACGATAGAAATTAGTCCCTAAATGTCTTTAGCAACAAAATTTTTATTCTAGATATCAAAAAAATTGGTCTTTAAAATTCTTATATGTTGTAGTGTCAGATGGTGAAAATATCATAAAATTAACAAATAATTAAATAAGTTAAAAACACAATAAATGGCTTGTTAAAAAATCCTTAGAATATGTTTGGTTAGATTTTTAGAAATTAATTTTTAATTTTTTTTAAAAAAATTAAAAATTAATTTGGTTAAGAAATAAAAAATAAAAAATAATAATAATTTTTATATAATTTTTTCTTTTGAGTGGTTATAAATAATTTTGACAAATTAAATAACTGAACCGAATCAATGACATCCGGCAACACACCCTTAATCCTATTAGCAATTACTTTCACAATGCATTTATAGATGGTATTACAGCAGGATATGGGTCTATAGTCCCCAAACTTAGAGGGATGGGGAACTTTAGGAACCAAAGCTATAGTAGTACTGTTAATCTCCTTAAGCATTTCACCAGAATCAAAAAAGGACTTGATAGCCATAGTAACCTCAAGACCAACAACCTCCCAAGCACTATGGAAAAAACTCGCAGAGTACCCATCAGGGCCATGGGCCTTATTTGGATTGAGAGTTTTAAAGACATCCCTGATCTCTTCAACAGTCACAACTTGAGCCAAAGTAACCATCTGGTCAGTAGTCAATCTTTTATTGACTAAAGCATTGACCCTCTCAAACCCAGAATAAGTATCATCATGAGAGGTCCCAAACAAATTAGAGAAATTAGTGACAAAGGCACTGTGGATATCATTAAGATTAGTGAGCCTAACCCTATTATCTAAAGTAACCCCACTTATTCTGTTTCGATTTTGGTTATTTCTAATAGATCTGAAAAAGAAATTAGTGTTTCTATCACCCAAACTAAGTCAGTTGATTCTAAACTTTTGATGGGCTAAACTCTCTTCAGCTTTGCACAAGTCCACATAATTTCTACAAAGATTCCTCTCATTAGTTTGAAAGACCAGGTTCAAAGGGTCCCTATCAAGCTTAATCTGGGCAGCTTCTAACTCAGATCTAGCACAGTGGACCCTGGCAGTCAAGTCACTAAACTCCTTTTTATTCAGATCTTTTAACAAAAGCTTAAGGGACCTCAGTTTACAGCAGGTTCTGAACATGGGGGAATCCTTCACATATGTGCACCAAACACTCCTAACAATGGGAATGAAATCTTTATGGTCAACCCATAACTTAAAATATTTGAAAGGTTTCCTGAAACTTTTACCCTTAGGAGTAACAGATAACACAGCAGGGGACTGGTCAGAAAGACTAGCAGGGCCAAATATCACATGGGACAAAGGGAAAGCTTTAAGCCATTCATCATTCCCTAAAACTCTATCAATTTTTGAAGCAATATAATGGCCATCAGTTTGTTTGTTAGCCCAAGTAAACTGGCAGCCACTATAGGAGATGTCAACTAAAGAGGCCTGGGTGAGAGAATAATTTCACAACTCTTTAGCCATAGACCATTTTTTGGACCCTCCAATCTTCTCAAAGGGAGATCTAATGGCATTAAAATCACCCATCCAAACAGAGGGGATTTTGGATGTTTGGGATGCAAGATCAACCAACTTATCAAACAAAGGGACTC